TAATGACAACAAGATCATCATTTGGTGAAATAGCACAAAGGCCTGATGCTAAAGTTCCCAAATCTACATTTTCCCAGATGGTAAAATAAACAAAACATCTAGTGTTTATACACTAGATCAGGGATGTCCAACCCGTGGACCGCAGGCTGCACGCGGCCCTAGGCAAGTTCCAATGCGGCCCAATAAACGTGCAAACAAAACTGACAAATTGTTTTATGTTTTTATTTCAACGGTATAAACTCAAAAAAGAAGTTTCACAAAGCCATAAACTTTTATACATATTTTATTTTTGAGTAAAAAGGTTATATTTTCAAATACTTGGAGATGTGTGGATGATAAAGGAATATTAAATAAAGCTGAAGTTGTGACTCAAAGGATTACAGACCCAAATTTGATAAAAGGAGAAAAAGGCCAAAAGATAAAAAGTAGCGAGAAAGGTTAAATAGACCTTCTGTTATGCAAATATTGACCCTTAATTTTCCAACCTTCTTCACTACTTTTTATCTTTTGGCCTTTCTCTCCTTTTCTCAAATTTGGGTCTATAATCCTTTGAGTTCCAACTCCAGCAGTATTTAGTATTCCTTCCAGCGTTGCAATATTTGGCTACTTTGTGCCAAATTTGGCTACCATTTTTTTTAGTTCAGCATAAAAATTATCATTTGGCTCATTGGCTACTTTCTGGACTATATATTATTTATAAATATATTAGTCGAATCAAAATGCACTTTAAAATGGTGTTTCGTCATTTTTTATTAATTAAAGACCCAAATAAAAGAAATATTTGTGCTTTTGAAATGAATTTTTGTTTGTCTCCTTTATAATAATTTATTTCTAAGTAAAACTTGAAAGTGTCTGTAGGAGTAATTTTTTGAAATATCCTTTTTCGTGATAAAGTTTTAATACTTATTACTATAATCTAGACTTGTTAATCCTTAAATATAAAAGTATATTTAAGGATTGGGTCACAAATATATTATATATACTTGTGGCCCAAAACTCCACGACTTCTTCCAATGTGGCCCAGAGGAACAAAAAAGTTGGACACCCAATGTATCTAAAACACCACCAACGACTACTGATATGGGCCAAAGGTAAAATGTCAGGGACTTCAAAATGGTGTAGTTATTTGGACTGATAAAATAAAGTTCAACTTGGATGATGCTGACAGTTGGCAATTTTATTGGAACGGTCTTAAGAGAAAAGAGTTTTCATTTACTGATCGTCAGCAAGGCATTTAAAAACTGCTCAGTCATAATCTGGGCAGTTTTTAGATGGTCTGGAAAAATCAAATTAGCATTCATAAATGGCTGAATGAAGGCAGTTGGGTATCAAAATCTCTTACATACATATCTTCTGCCACTTTGAGAAAAAAAAAATGGTCCATTTTGTCAATTGCAACAAGATAATGCACCAATCCACACTGCAAACTTCACTTATCTTTCAACTATATAAGATAAAGTTTTTGAAAAATGGTGATTTCATTTGCTATTAAATGCTACTGGCCTTATATTTTTGCAATACTTATTTTTGAATAAAAAAATTTATATTTTCATTTTTATTTTTGATTGTAAATAGATTTACGTAATTCTTTTACATGTATACAGGGTTCCTACTCAAATTTTTGTTTTGAATTCCCTGACTTTCCCTGACCAACTTTGTCCAAATTCCCTGACCCTCACATTTTTTAGTGTAGAATATCGACATAATAAAACAGCATTTACTGTTAACATCGAGTACATTTAGCCCTCTTTTTGCACAGTTGATATGCTTCAAAGACTGCCACATTAAAAAAATACAGTACATACATCCTGTAGAAAAATGTTTGATAGAATCCACAACTTCAATGTAATGAAAAAATAAGCAATTTACAAACAAAACACAAGCTTTTTATTTTATCATCATTTATCATTATTATTTGTATGTAAATCTAGTAAATACAAGGTAACATAAAATCAACAAAAATTATTCTTTGATAAACAAATAGTACTGTACTGTGCTTAAAATGAACTCTTGACTTAGAAACACATAATTTTAAAATCAATCTTTCAACAAAAAGAGTAACTTTTTTTTAACCTTTTTACATTACCATCTGTTGCATATCTTAAAAACAGTTATTGCAAATATAATGTTTAAACATGCATTATTATATGGATAGGATAGATAGGGTGTGACCCATATCCTATTTCTGAGATCAAAGAATGTTTTGATGAGAAGAAATAAAACTCATATTTAATCACTGAGCCTTCTACTGCCCCCATGAAAGCCTCCAGTGCCCGCAAAGGGGCGTTATCACCCACTTTGAGAAAGGATGATCTAGACCAGTGTTTCTCAACCCAAAACTCATCGCAGACCGGAAAATATCTGCTTTTTTTAAGTGGACCAGTGACAATATTATTTTTAATTGAAAAAAATTCTCTGTTGTAAAAAGAACTGCAAACTACATTGAGCAATAAATATTTGTTATTTTATTTACCAGTACATTAGTATACAAATCAATGTGATCGCTGCTTTTCTTTTTTGCTAGTAAGATCATCAATTCTTGGAGTTAAGGCGGTAACTGCAAGGCGTGAGGCAGAACTAATACTATAATGATTTTGTTGTTTCAATTTTATCATTACCATTGCTGAAAACATTGATTCACATAAGTACGTTGTTGAAAAAGGTAGTAACATCCTAACTGCCTTTTTATGTAAAACTGGATATTCAGATTTAACTTTAATCCAAAACTGTGTTATGGGCATTGATTCAAACAATGTTTTAAATCCCAAGTCTGAACTTAATTTGATTAGTTTTTCGTATTCAAAGTCGTTCAATCTATTAGTTTGCTATCAATAAACGGATTAATAATCCACATATTTCCTATTTGAGAACAACGCATGGAAGGTTAAGTATATATTTTTAAAGTTTTCGCGGACTGGTCAGATTAGAGTTGCGGACCGGCGGTTGAGAAACACGGGTCTAGACTATTTCTCAAGTTTCTATAAAAAATTTCTGTTCATTCCTTTTTTTCTCTAATAATTAAATTATTTTACGTTTTTCTATTTTAGTTCCGGACAATTCCGGAACCTCACACTTGTATTCCTATGAAGTCATAGTATTACGAAAATTGGGATTCTTAAAACTTATAAAATAAAATAAATACAGAAATAAACAACAAACGAAATTACAATTATACGTTATTAAAATATAGAAGTTCAGCGCAGAGAATCGTAACTACAAATCTCTTTCTTTTGCAACATAACTATAAAAATTGTTTTGGTGTTGTTTCGCACAAAAAATAATCAAATTTATTTTAATTTTTTAGTAATGTAATTATTTTTTTTTAAATTTACAGCTTTTTAATTTTTAAATTTTAATTATAAGCAAGTTAACATTGGTTAAACTATCGGATTACCTGTTGATTTTCGAAAATATAACTACAGAATATTTATTACAAGCATGATCAATCTTGCCAGTTTTTAAGCCCTAAATTTGCCAAAATCAGTGATATTTGTTACCCAATGTCATTTCAGTTAACTAATTATTAAACTATGTATCGAAGTTGCGGAAAAAAACGGAAGAGAGAGGGAAAATATGCTTGCAGTACAGTACATTCAAGGAAAATCGTAACAACAAATATAAAAAGCTTGTGCCAACAACAAGTCAGCGCCAGTATTTTACTGTAAACGTCGGGTAACTATTTATAATTTTTTATGTTTTAAACTGAAAAACGATTAAATTACAGATTTTTACTGATCTGTTTAGCTATTTTGAAGTGAACATTCTAATAAATTACGATTTCAACTTTTAAAAGTTTGCAAACAAATTTTTAATTAGTTATTTTTTATTCTAATAAACAATTTCATTTTTTTATAATCGCTGAATTACTAAAATTAAAAATTAAACACTATTACATAAAAGTAGTTTATCCTGTTATTAATTAACTCCCTTGCTACCCACTAATTTTTAATATTAATGTAATTAAACATAAAAAATATTTAAAACTGGGAAAAAAACGAAAGAAATGCGTTAATTTTGAAGAAAAAGCTTCAAACTTTATTTTCCATTGTCTCGCCTTTCTGTGAAATCTGACACCGATGAGTCATTGTGTTTACAGCTGGATGACCTGGAGAACAGCTGGTGTTGGGATTTCCCGGGACATTCTCATAGAAGTCTCGGGAGGAGAAGGGTTTAAAGTAGAGTGAATACTAGCTGGCCGTATATTTTTAAATATTTTTCAAAAATTACGTTTTTTTATTGCGATTTCCGACCCCCCGACTTAATTAAACGTATATATAATAAAATATATTAATTTAAAAAAATTAAAAAACTATTGGAGGTCGTTTTTGACATCAGAAACTAGCTTTAAATAACTTTATCGAAGTAAAATCCGTGCACTACTACTTTAGAACGATGAATGAAATTTGATAAAAAAAACTCCCATTAAAAAACAATTAAGAGTTAATCGTGCGTCATTAAAGGTATATTAAAATCGCGATAAAATATTTTCGCGCGGGAAAAAATTTTTGAAAAAATTTGGAGACTTAAAAAACATCCAAAAAAAACAAAAATTTTTTCGGAGGGCCCAAATGCCCGAGTTTTATATAACGCTATGGAACTTTCCCGAGTTATCTCGGGTTTTAAAGATTGCAGCATTACTTCTTGCCGCCTGCGTATGGCTATGATTGGTCATCTATATTCAGCAAACCAAATCAACAACGCAGTTAAGGAGACAAATTCCCTGACTTTTTGACAATTTTCGACAAATTCCCTGACTTTTTGACAATTTTTGACAAATTCCCTGACTTTCCCTGACTTTTTCAAAAAATAATGAAAATCCCTGACTTTCCCTGATTTTCCAGGTGCGTAGGAACCCTGTGTATATTTATTCCTGTTACCAATATTTTGTTTAAGTGTAATAAAAATTTATAACAAAAATTCAGAGTAGCCTTATATTTTTGCAACACCTTATTTAAGTCATGTAAATGGTATTGATTATTAAAAAAACTCAGAAATTTTACCTTTAATTTTTCTTCATTAATGAAATAATTTTCTGGAAATTGAACATCAAATTTAACATAGAGATTTCCTTTTTCAAATGGATTTCTGTAGATCGGCATGCCTTCACCAACTACGCCTTTTACGGTTCCTGAACAAATAAAAAGTATATATTCCACTTCCGTAGCTTCTATAAGTTAAAAAAAAAAAAAAAACACATTTGAGTAATTTACCAGGCTCTATAACATCTCCGGGAGGATTCTTCATCACTATATCGCGCCCGTCTAAGTGCTGGATTACAATGTTAAAGCCACAGAGCGCTTCAGTGAGATTTACTTTATGAGTCATAAACAGATCGTTTCCTTCCCGTTGGAATACCTCATGAGGTTTCTGTTGCAGAACGATAATGACATCGCCAGCCTCGACCGATGGCTAAAATAAAATCAATTTGCAATGATATTATTAAAACAAACGACTAAATTTTTGAAAGTAACTTATGAACCAAAAAGTCATTAATATATAAGTTAGTAAGTTTACCTGCTGGTCACCTTCTCCACGAAAATAAATTTTCTCCCCCTCACGCATACCCTTATCCACGTGAACTTCCAGAATTTTGGTCTCATTCACAACTTTCTTACCCTTGCAAGTTTTGCAGCGATCTCTCTCATTTATCATTTCTCCTGCAGGTAGTGAAAAAGAATTAAATTTGGTTCTGAAATAAATTACATTTATAATTATAACAGATTAGAAATCAATATTACCTTCGCCATTACAATCTGGACAGTCAGACTGCATCTGCTGAATCATACCGGGTCCCAGCTGTCGGTAAGTTACCTTTACGCCTCGTCCACGGCACGAACGGCACTGTTGAAGAGCACCGGGTTTTCCTCCTTGGCTAGAATTTGTAAAAATGAAACTAATCAATCAAAAATTCACTACAAAATATTATCCAATGAAATGTACGTAACTTAAAGGCTGCTAACTATACACGTACCAAAATTTATTCTCAGTTAGAATGCTTAAATAGTAAGTAGAAATCTATAATAATTAGTTAAGACTTTCCTTTAGAATCCAGACATAAAGTGGTAAAATTTATATTTTGGAAATAAAACAATCCTCTCACAAAGAAAATCGTAATTAAGTAATTCAACAAGAGACAAAACAGGTTTTCATCCCTTCCACTGGCAGAAGAAAAAATATGTAGAAAGAACCTCGAAATTTAAAAATTTAACTTTTCATTATCATCCTCCCAAACTTTGAGAAAATGATAAAGATTTTGAAGATAATTTCGTGTGTCAAGTAAGCACCATTGGGGATCTGTTTATAGATGATATAAAAATCAGAAAACAAATTTTTCTAAAAAGAAAAAAATAAAATACAAATAACGTCACATCAGATAAGCACCCGTAAACGGCAGAAAAGAGTTGGCTCACGTACAACACCCCATCCAGTTTTAAACATTTGCACTAAATTCATTTATTTCAAGAGCTAACACTATAAAACTAAATTATAAACTATAAAATTACATAATAAGGCAGTCGTACTTAATAAAAGTTCGTTTAGACCATTAAAAGACAATCAGCAGGCAACTTGCATTAATATTTGCCTTTGTTAATATGTTAAGAAGTATGATGGCACCGTTTGATTTTAATTAATAGAACACTACTTAAATCGCTAAGATGTTTTTGTAGCTCCACTCAAAACAATAAAGTAGAATTATAACTATAGAAGTAAAATGTGTAAGAAAGTTTCCATGCATGTATCTGTGTAATGATGTTTTGAACGACCCATATTGTATATCAGAATATAAAACACTTGCCACTGTAAGAAATGCTTTCTATTCTGTTCCACTTAACATTAACGGTCTTAACCAAAATTGTTCGGAATGTACACGGCAATAACTCGTATATCTCTCTCCCAAAACTGCACATAAAGTAAATTGGCAGGATATCAACTATTTTTTTGAAGGAGCATTGAAACGAGATACTGAAATAAAACTACATTTTAAGTCTATTGTCAAATTTAGATTATTTATTTTAGGGGATTTTAATGGAGGAATGTCTGCAAGGAGGTTAACCGAAAAAGATAGGGTAATTTAATATGTTCATAAAATTATGATTTGTGTCAGATTTTAAAGTGAGATACCCTTAAAACTTCTATAAGATTTAATGTATTTTTATCTTACAATGAAGTATAACCTAATTTAAATCTGGCATCTCCATTTTAACACTTCTAACATTCCAGTTTGAAAGTCAGTTTAGTTAAAAACCTGTGAAAAGCCGAAAACATTCGTAAGTTGTGTTACTGGTTGAAAAGGTTTTTGGTTATGTTTGTATTTAATTACTGCAGTAATTTGAGAAGGACATAGTTATAGTATTGGCATCTCCATTTTTGATTATAGTGAAGAGATTTGAGAAAGCTAGCAACAAATTAGAGAGGAATTTCTAAGTAAAATATATCAATAATTCCAATAAAATTCCATTAAATCTTATTTTTAAAAAAGCAGTTTTCTCTCATTTACACATAAAACACACTCCTTAACTTGGAGACAGGAAAGGTAACGCGTCGTATCTTGAGTGGGGACAGACTTTATACAGATTTTACTCATTACCAGGGGCAAGTTTTTATAAAACCTTGTCTCTACCCTCAAAATTAAGGTTTGAGGTGTTACCATTTTATAATAATTAATAATATAAAATGAAGTCTTGTAACAAATGGCGTCACCACAATTTTAAAGTTCAGCTTGGAAAGTTTTAAAAAAAAAAAAGCAATGAGTTTTGCATAAGTAATTTTTTAATTAAAATTTTTACACTGCAAAATTTTCCCCTAAATATTCATCTTGCTCAAAACCAATCGGTGCCATTAATTAATTATGTATATAAAAATGAGTTGGTGACTCACAAGGAATAACACAAGAAGTAATGCTAATCTCAGAACCATCTGTTGTTCACTTTTAAACGGAGTTTTTAAATTCAATTCTCATATAAAAAAAAAACATTATTTTCTCTACTTTAAAATCAGAAAGTTTTACAGTAAAAGTAACTTGAGGGTATAAACTTTTTTGTTAATTTTTAATCATTTTCCAGTCTAGCTGCTTATTCCTGTTGAAAATTCTATTTCCATATAACCGCATAAAATGATAAAATCATTTATTCCACAGCACAAATTGAATGAATCCTATTTAAATAATGAAATATGGGCGATTCATGCAGCAATTCACATCCGAAGCAAGCGTTTTAAACTCAAACCATTTGTCACAATCCTAATAGTGTTCTAGTTCTGCCCAGAATAATTCTCAAAGTTTCTGACAGCAAGACAGTGTCAAGCATCATTTATTAGAGACAGCACCGTGGAAGATGGGCCACAGATTCAGTTGAATAATGAATCAGATCATTCATCAGTCACTGAGAATGTGGATTTTTAACATCAACTGCCAGGCACTGATGCATCAATCACAGAATAAAACTGACGCTAGTGTTGCTTAGCATCATCTTTTATCCTAATGTAACTCCATGTTTTGTCAGCAGACGATCACTCCATTTTTACACATGAAATTGAAGTAATCGTGACTGTTTGCATGGATTTTGGTGATTATGTTGGTATTAAGTGCGTAAACAAAAAAGCAAACAAACAGAAAGAAACATGCGGTTGGAATTGGTTTTTCCATATTTATGTCTGACAGTCCTAAGTGTGAAAGCAGTTATAAAGCTTAGGCACAGACACACACATACACTACACACTTTTTGTCGTTTCAAATATAATATGCAGAAAGCAGAATTTCTTAATGTTACAAAATTTCCACTTAGCCGAGAAATTATAATGCAATACTGAATTTGGTTTGAGTTATCTTTAGCTAACTTTTGAATGTTTCAGACTTTTTACTTTTCTTATTGTCCAAAAAACAAAAAGAATATTGATCCATAAATATCACATAAACTTATAAGTTGATATTATACAGTCAAACTCGGTTATAATGCACATGGATATAACAAGTTCACAATTATAATGAGCAAAATGCCATAATTTTAATTTATGCATATTTCCATACTTTTTACTCATGGTTATAACCAGGGTACTTCAAGACTATACTGAACAAATTTTCGGTAGCTATGCAAACACACTAACATTCTTAATGTTTTACTGTCTTAATGTTAATTCTGACTCGACAGTTTTAATGTTAAGACTGTCGAGTCAGAAAACACTGAAGTTTTGATTTGACTTTCATATTTCAGTATGGTGGTATGGTATGATGCAGCTGTAATTATAATTTAAATGATGATAATACAAACACTTTTATACCCATGTATATGAAAACAAAACACGCAAAGAAACAATTATCCAAATAAAGTGCGAGAGCCCAGACTTGACAAAAGTTTTCTGGGTGAAAATTTAATTTTTGAAATTAAAACTTGCTATCATTTTTCCCACGATTGTTAAAATTGTAAGGGATATGATTTTATTCCTCTGTGGAGTCATTTCCCTTTCAAGATGATACACCGAATGTGTCACCAGGAACTTAGCAATGAGAAATTGCTATTGGACATAAACATTGCAACATTGCCGAAAAAGGGCAATGGAGAAAAGAGGGAGGACCCCAATAAAAGGCAATGACTGATGATGACAGATGTTTGTTCACTTGACGGAGAGTTCATCGGATTGAGGAGTCTATGACCATCAAAAGTTCACGCTTGCCAGAATTACCCAAGCACTCAGATACCTATCTACCTAAGTGACTTTCCTCCCTCCAACAATTCAGCCATTGATGCCTCATTCCTCCATCAATCCATTGTTTCATGAACTCCATCAATCCATCATATTGACAACACATCTTCAGATCCTTTACCAGATATCTATGTAAACACTGTCTCCAACTTAGAATTATTGAATTAGTTAATATCGTGGACGTAGCCTTTATTACAAAATATTAACCTTAAGAAAATAAGTAGCAAATAATCATAATGTTCCACCCTTCAATTGTACATTGCATGTTTTGATTACTTGTAAATAGCTTAATAAATGGATATTTGCTATTGTTAGAATTGTGTATGATGCACTTCCTTAATCCGTGCTGTCTCTCATGTCCTGGATCCAAGTGCCTACAAACGTGACTTTTCATGCAAAAACAAAATTAGTGGTCATCAAGTCTGTTCCAAAAGACACAGTGGTGTCAGTCCTGACAAACTTTGTCATTTGAAATGCGGCGTTGACCCTTCGGTCCCATGGAGCCAAAGCATAGGCACTTCGCACATTGTCACAGCATTAAATTTCTCTACAAACACATCATGAAAATTTAATAGAATATAGCATACTAACATGATGAAGAGAATAATGTCAAATTGTCTAAAATTAGATTTGTGACACACACAATAAGATGTACACATATTGAAAGCTATACGTAAGTCAACGTAGGCAATATCTAACAAAGGAATATTACAAAATATTTAAACCAAAAATAAAAATGGCGTTATAACGATGTAATGTTGCAATGACATGTTGCATTTGTAACTCTAGAAATTCTAATTTAATACTTTCATCATTTTTGCAATGATACAGTGACTTTTATCCATATTTTTGACTATTTAAAGTAAAATGTCTTGTGAAAGCCAAACTACAAGTGCAAACACTTAGTTTGGTCAAGTATGACTCAAGAAATGCATTCATCCACTATTCATATAAGCAAGTAGCCATACAGAGTGATGACAGAGGATGGAATTTCCCACACTAATGTTGTTTTGCCCCTTGTGAATTTAAAAGTGAACAGTGTAAAAAGTCACAAGCAAAAGTCAACTGATAAATGAAGCAAAAGTGGACACATTAAACACAATACTAGGGTACAAGAACAGCCACAAAGTAAAGAATAAAATTTAATACTATTGTCTGGTCTTTTTTGTTTTT